TTGGTTTCGCAAGTTGCCTTTGGAAATGCGAGAGAAGGCAGAAAAGGCAGTAATTCTCTTTTACAGATTCTTTAACAGTTCTGAATACAAATGAATGTAGTTTGCTGTTCAGATAGACGATCATACGATATTCAATTAGCACGATTTTCACGCCACTATTTCTCATTCTCTACCAACATTAGCAGGTGAATGACGTTCCTGTTTCTCTCTAGATGAAATATCTAACCAGTACAACTGGTCCATTCTCTTCCTTTAACCCAAGAGTGGATACCATTTGTTCATAAGGATTATGCATTAAGAAATAATTAGTAGAATGATCATTTTGTTGATCCATTTTTAAGGGTACTACAAACACGTGATGGTGGACCTCTAGTTGGGGACCTGACCCTAACGACGGATCAATAAATTAGCTGCTGTTATAACAGTTAGTTAAGTCGTGATGATAGACTTCACATTCCACCAAGCGTATCCCACTAAGATGCTCATCCAAACAATAACCGTTATTCCTACCCTATGGCGGATATGTTTAATGTCCCTCTGTACTATGTTTATCCTAAACAGATTTGATATCACTTCATAAGTGAGTCCATCAGCCGTTGATAGCCGCTGTGTTATCATATAACGTATAACTTTTTCTAAACCAGCTCTCATAGCATGTTGCAATGTCCTCCTACCTCAAGATGCTTAGTAGTGCCATTTTAGCAGGCCATGGCTCGGTCGAATTTGTGTACATGCAGTGCTTGACGTATCTCGTATCATTTTGTTCCCAAGAACCATCTCACTAGCCGTGCTGTATTTAAACAATCCCCTGAGCAATTAGGGGAAAGATTTTGGACCAGTGTGTAGTAGAATCTGGCGTGAAGGGGTGATGCGTTAGGTGACAAACTGCAGCGTACGAACATACTTTGATATTTAGTTATTTCAGCCATTTCAAAATTCATAGTAGATCTTAATGTCCAATAAACGAGCTGCTGGTACCACAGAGACGATGGCAATGATTTCTGAACCTTCCAATTTGGGGTAAAACTAAAACTTAATTTCCGTCTCAAAGCCCATCCTCTGTGCTGTCGTCGCGAAGTACACATAACCACTTAATTAACGAGTCGTTGCCCTGGACCATGGACGGGAGGGCGCACGTTTCTCGGTCATAAAGAGCCATATAAAGGCAATTTATTGCCACCGTTTCGTTTTAACGGTCAGTCAATTTTCGCGATTCGCAACGGTGCCAATTTCGACTTAACCGTGATGGCAGTCACTCGTCACTCACGTGCACAATGACGGTATAAGTTTGTCTGTCGAGGCGCGTTCACCGTATAACGACGAGTAAGTGTTACAAATATAACGTCATCGTAAAGTACATTATCATAGCTGCATTATAATAATTTTACAAACCTTTGTATTGATGGAATAAATCAACATGCGGAAAATTGCTCTGTGTCTTGTATCGATTACTGTAGTAATGAGGCATATTAATAATCATCGTCATTTCACCGGATAGAATAGCCGTCGACAGTCCTGTTTTGCACTGTCAGGCTGTTATAAATCAATGATGAATGTCCGGTTTAGTTCTTGCTCAACGGAAAGCAAAATGCGCTTCGCTGTCTGAAAAAACCTGTTTTCCTTCGCGAGTTCTCGAAAGCTCCTAGCAGCAAAGAAATCGAATCTGGCGCTTGTTTCTTTGACTCCCGCAGAGCAATTTTTAGCTTTAGGTCGCTGCAAAGTTCTTGGAGTGCGGAATTTAAATTTGCTCATTAATTTATGGCACGAATTTCGAGCAGTTGAATTAAGCGACTTTACAACGGTACAAATGAGGCAATTGACCGGTTCCTCAGAAGCAGTGACACGGCTTTGCAAGTTTAAACTTTGAAAATTTACTAACTGAATGGAGTCACAAAAAC